GRCTMWGCTAARAAGCTAACCGGAAATCGCGTGCGCTGTAAACAACCCTACTGAGAGGAGAGAAGTACCGAACTGAACAAGATGACTGTAAATGAGAGTTGCTGCTTTGTCAGACAAATTTATTTTAATTTGGAAGCCTTATCAACACAGACTGGCTTCATTCACTTTCTCCACCGCCATTGCTAAACTAACTAACAGACACTGCGCAGAAAATTGACGTYGTTCAAAACTCCACCTTCTGTTTGCTGATTGGTCCAGGTGAATTCAACTACAAGCAGACACTGTGTAGAAAATTGACATCGTTCAAAACTCCATCTTCTKTTCGCTGATTGGCCCGGACGAAAATTCTCCTGAAGAAATCCTTGTCTGTGGGAGAAATCCCAGATGGAGCAGTGAAGGGAAACTAGAAWTGAGCGGAGCTGCATAGGTAGGCAAGGACCAGGCTAATGGCGGACCAAAACTGACATGATTACTAATAAAAGTAGAAATATATAAATGGACCAATAAGTAAATAAATACACTTAAAATTCACAGACTAAATTTTAAAAAAATGAAATTTTTACCTCGTTTTATAATTTAATTGACCTTCAAATTTATTTTTTCCAATTAATTATATATTTTAGCAAATAATTTAAAACAAAGGCAAGGAGGAAAAATATGTGCCTTTGTTTGAAACTAAACTTTTAACTTTAGGCTAAATGGAGGCAGCACAAGCATGCACAGTAGATTTGCACATGGATCCTGCTCCTTCCTGTCTGTTGACCAATGGGAGAAGAGCTGACCCAAGATGGACCGCCCACCTTATTTGCATAATTAGGCTGAAATGCATAAGGTAAAGCAAAAGCAGGAGATTTAAAAAAAATACACATAAATAAAAAGACTGGTGAGGAAAACAAACAAATATAAGAGACACATATGCATCTACAAGTAAAAAGTAAAACAAAATATATTTTTTAAAACAGTAAAATGTAAATTATGTGCAACTAAGTAGGAAAAATAAATATGAAGGTCAAATAAATGATAAAAAATTAGGTAAAGTTCTCCTTTTTAAAATTAATATGCGCATTTTAAGTGTATTTATTTATTGGTTTAATTATATATTTCTGCTTTTATTTCTAATTATGTCAGTTTTGGTCCTCCATACAGTTGTTCAAATAAAGTTGAAGTGGAAAATAAACTGCAAATGTGTTTGAAAACAAAATCTCTGTGTCAAATTTGAGCTTAATATTAGTAAAAAAAAAGACTGAGTTATAGCTCTGTTGTTGACTAAGGTTAATTAGTTGTGGTAGCCATCTTGAATTGTGTTGATCCCCAAAGGTATCCAGCTGTAAATGTATGTTCAGTAATTAGTATCTGAAAGTTTCGATAAAATGCATCTGCTGACTCATGAGATATTTTGCTAACAGACAATCACAGGCAATAACAGTACCCACAACTAAAAAAGTTCAACATGGGGTTCATCACAGTTGATCTTTCTGTGAGGCTATGATGACTGCCTGGTATAAATGTATACGTTTTATAAATGCGTCGCCTCACTGCACCAAGGTTGCAGCTTTGGATTGCAGTCGAGACATTTTTGTGTGGAGTTTGCAGAGATTTATTTATTTAAATGATATAACTGAATTGTGATCTTTGAAAGGAAAGGACATCTAGAAATAAATTACTTTTGAATAAATTCACAACATCCAACATCTAAACATCCAAATTAATACATGTTATGGTTTAATGCGTTTTTGAATTGACTGAAGTTTTAAATGTGTTTTTTTTCCTTTTTTTTTTGTTCGTGCCCTCTTTGTGATGGACCAGCAGTCTTCCTGTGTTGTACCCCAATGATATGCAGACACAATTTCCARCAGAAGTACAGTATAAAAATAAAAAGAATTCAGTAAAGATGTTTTTTTCTGTCTTCATTTAACACCTCAGATAAAGATGAACTTTGAACTCCTCACAAAGACKGCAGAAGCAGATCTATTATAGAATTAATTATTTCAACATGGACCATAATGTTTGCCTGGCTTCACAATGGAGAATATATTTAATAATTTATTATGATTAATTCACATTTTAACACTGATCAAACTTAGTTGGTGTTAATATTTCATTACTGTTGTACTTTTAAMCACCAATTGAAACTTTCTTTCTGTCCTTCCTTTTTGTGTTTCAGGTGGTCAACAGAAGGAGGTCATAGTGTCTAAATCGGACACAAACGTGTTAATAACAGACTACAAACCTTCAAGGGAGTATGTTTTCAGTGTTATTGCTGTTCGAGGCAGAAAGCAGAGCAGTCCGCTTCACGGCAGATTTAAAGGTTTGTTTCAGACATTWTTACTTCTGTCCTGTTTCTCTTTGCTCTTTCTGTCTGTTCTGAATGATACTGTGTTCTGCACTCCTGCACTATTTTCTTCAATAGACTTTTGTAAAAGCTCTGCAAAATGTCCACACAGACCAGTCCGGTCCTCTGGGTGGATGAGGTCAACCACCTCCCACACAGATGTTAGCTTTCAGAAATGAAGTGAGCATCATGGAACTGAAGTCAGCTGCATTGATGTGGAGCTCAATGCTTTAAATGTGTGATAAATGTCTCCCTTGAATTATTTTCAAAACATAATGAATTAACTCATTAAACTATTCTCACGGTTAACTATTTTTTAAACTAAATGTAAAGTTGCTGTGCGTCATCAGTGACCTCCCCTTGGTAATAAATCTGTTTATTGTTTAATCCTGCATCCAGCCGTTGCTCAAACTATAGATGAGGAATGTCAAACACTTCCATTGAGGGCCTTCATGTTTAACTTCAGCTAAACATGAAAYGTGTTTTTTGTCTCATTGCTCTGGCTGAGCACCACTAACAAACAATAACTGAGCTCTACCTGGTATTTCCTGCATAGAAGCAGTATTTTTACGTGTCTTCTTATAAACGCTGAAAACTCTTTGTGTACGACAAATAAAAAGTGAAATAAATAAAACAGAAATACTATTAAAAGTAAAAGTAATAGAGTTTTGCTCACAGTTGAGTTGTGGTAAGTCTTCAACTCTCCCACTTTCCAACAGGTAATTCCCATGCATAATTAACATGCATTGTGGGATATGTAGTTTATAGTCACTACTGGATTTAAAGCAGCTTATATTGAGACATTAATACAGGGCTGTTCAAATTAATTGCTCAGGGGGCCACAGTTACTCAAACCCATCCGCTGAGTGGCAGGACAAGTATTATCTTTCACCTTTTATATTTTTTTACTTTGTTAGGTTGAGTCATACATTTATAGCTTACCCTTATTAAAACATTATTAAATTTAATTATTTCTGGGTCTTGTTCACGAACGAGGAAAGAATGGAGCGGGAGATCGACAGGCGGATTGGTGCTGCGTCTGCAGTGATATGGGCGCTGTACCGGTCTGTCGTGGTGAAGCGGGAGCTGAGCCAGGAGGCGAAGCTCTTGGTTTACCGKTCGGTCTACGAYCCTACCCTCATCTATGGTCACGAGCTTTTAGGTAGTGACTGAAAGAACAAGATCACGGATACAAGCGCCCGAAATGAATTTCCTCCGCAGGGTGTCTGGGCTCTCCCTTAGAGATACGGTGAGAAGCTCAGTCATCCGGGAGGGGCTCAGAGTAGAGCTGCTGCTCCTCCACGTCGACAGGAGCCTCAAGGAGTTTTTGTCCATTTGACTGCCTTTATAAGCATCTGGATGAGTCCCTTATGTGTATGGACTGCCTCAGACAACTGCTTCTCAAAACTAGCCAAGTTGCTGTTGTTGTTGCTACAACAGCCAGGTTTGGGAATTGTAGTAGTTTAAGCAAAATGCTGTCATTGCTGTCCGAGCGTGTTTCAAGACAAACAAATACTCCCATGAATTTCTGATCAATCACAAAATACTTCTGTATTCCGAGGGAGTTTGACCCTGGCCTCGTGTCAGAACAGGGCTGACAAAAAAAAAACAATGTCTTTTTGTCACGAAACAGCCTCATTAAGACTGGATTTTGCAGGTTTGATGGACCATGCAGAGGCCTTAAGTCCTAGCCGGAGGTATCCAGTGAAAGAATCTTTAGTGTATTAGAATATTAAAAGCAGAGCAAAATTAAAAGATTACCTTTTMAAATGAAAATTTCATTGACTTTCCTGATATAATATCCATTGATTGTAGCTCATAAAGTTGAAAGAGGTGATGGGCGAGATCAGACTGAGCCTCATCGGCAGACAGACCCAGCTGGACCTCCTGACGATGCCAACGAGATCTCTGGAGGTAGGACAAACACACACAAACACTGTATCCAGGAGAACAGACTGCATGTAAATCTTTTCGCTTACATGAAAAATGTAAACAGTTAAGGGCCTTTTCTTAAAGCTGTCTCCCGGCTGTTGCTGCAGTTTTGTTGGAAAAACAGTCCCTGTTGCTGTCTTTAACACTGACTTGGCAGATCAGAAAGCCAAAACTATGTCTGGTGTTTGTGCATTTTCACTGAATGCAACATCATGCAGAGTTTGTCAAATGACATCTACACTCTTTATGAATGAAATATATGGACTGGCGCACATTTTTTTTTCTGAACCAACAAGCTAAAGCGACGATGCCAAAACCATGGGYAAACCAGTCCCAGTTGTGATTCATGAAAACCACATTATGTGCTGATAATAGACCATTTCATAGTTAAAAATCATTGCAAAGGCACATGCACCAAGTAGCCACTCTCACATTTTTGGTGATAAACACTGTGGTTGTTATGGAAAGGCATACAAGTTAAAATGATAAATTTACACTGTTATACAGATCCGATGGAATTGCACTGAACTGATCCATGTTAAACTTTCCTTTAAGATAATAGAGGATAATTTTCATAAATATCTTTAAGTTCAAAATGTTTTTGGAGCTTGTTAAATTTGCTTAATTCCAACAGCGTTTCCAGGTAAAGATCTTTGTATAGGTTCAATAACCTGTGACCTGGAAAAGTTAGGTTCTGCTATGCACACAAGAATGGTTTGTTCCTGATATTTGCTGAGTGAATCTGTTCACGTCTGTCTCTGTAGCTGTTTATTGTTCTAGAAGTAAACTGTCTATGGTAGAGGCTACACTTTTACTCTGCTAATATTTACATTTCTTCTGCACAACATGAAAGGTTGAAAATAATAATGGCATTTATTTCGAGTTGGTGTACTTGGTTTTGTCAAAGTGACCGATTATCACAAGTAATTAAAAAAAGCCGTGGTTTAGAAACAGAAATGTGACTACTGATTATTTGGTTTTAGTTTAGAGGTGCAGTTTCTGTTTCTCTGTACAGCTTGTCTTTGATTTAAAGAAAGGACAGTTTTATATTAAGTGCAGCATAAATTTCCTCTGAAATGCTTGATGTGCAGTTAGGAGCTGCTGATGGAGCAGACGAGCATCATACACAATGAGCAATTAATTTCTATACAGTGCAACAAATTGGTTCTGGCTCTAAGCAGAATGCCAGTACATCACAATTTTATCACTGATGGCAGTTTTAAGAAATAGTTTGTCTAGTTCTAACGTAAAAGGTCAGGTAATGGTTTTTTGCACCTTATCTTTTGACGGCTACTGTATGTTTTGGATATATATTTCTGTATTTGATCATTAGCTTTGTTCTTTGTTCTCTGAGAAACAAAACCATATGATGTTCTGCCCTTTAAATCATAAACAACATTTGAACAAATATTTAAACTAACCTTTATGAGATGAAACCTGTTTTCACCTTCTGGTGTCTAACTCTGGGAATTTAAATTTGGTAGTGTGGTGTTTTTTTTAAATACTAGTGGATTCAAGAATTAAACAAGAAAATTGTCTTTGTGGAGGTTCATTCGATGCTGCAGACTGTCACAAGTTCTACAGAGAGCATCTACAGAGGTTGAGACAGGAAAAAAACAGGAAGGAAAATTTACCTGGTGGAATCAGTCAGATATACGTTCACAAACCAATCAGCTTCTAGGAAGCGCTTGTGATCCAAGCATGCATAAATCTTACAGGTAGGTCAGTAATCAAAATGAAACATGTTAGGGTTAGGGCATCTTAAATCCAGAGGCATGAAATGTTCTTTTATAACCTAATGCAGGGCTATTCAACTAAATTGTTCCGGGGGCCACGGTTAATGCAGGCCAACAGCTGAGGGGCTGAACATCCAGCAATTAAAGTTATTGTGTAAATAAACCAAAGATCTGTTACCTTTGAAATAATTTATTTTGCTGCATTTAATCATGGATATAACATACAGAACCCTATGTAATAAATTTAGTGATAATAAAACAAAATCAAAAACAAATATAACGCATCATACCTCCTATTTGACACAAATATAATTTTGACGTCTCTGACTTGCCAACTTTTTAAACCAATTTTATTTTTACTTTCATAGTTTTATCTTCTACTGCTCATAGTTTTAACTGTCTTGRGTGTGCTTAGAAAGAGTTTTTTACCAGCTTGTAGCCAAGATTCTGACATTTCTGTAGATACCAAACATGTCTATGTACTAAATGAACTCATAGTAATTAAAGTAGAAAACTGGTGGTCTGGGCTTAAGAGATGAATGAACCAATTGGCGGGCCACATTTTGGTCACTCGCGGGCCGGATATGGCCCACGGGCCGTCAGTTGAATAGCTCTGACCTAATGTGATGATTGTGTACCACAGCCATGAAACATCCTCTAGAATCAGTGACTGTATGTCTTCATTATTTTGATTGCTATCAAGCATGTTCATTCATATCAAATGAAAACTGTTTGGAACTTTTCATAAGTTTAAAACAACAGAAACTGTTACATTTAGCTGCTCTGCTATACAAGTCAGCCATGCCATTTTGGTTTAAAACCAGTTACTCTGCTCTGCTCAGCGCACTTCGCTGCCATTCGTGCCCACCTAGATTTATGCTGTGTCCACTCCTCTCTGGTACCAAGTGATTGCACGATGAAGCAGTGATAAATATTGATGTCAGACCAAAGCAATTCTTCCTGTGGAAGACGGACTCATACAGTTAATTAACACTGTTTTATATAACTCCATGAACGGACTCAAAACGATAGCCGAAACGGCATCACTGTTTGTCTTTTGGACACTTTTGGTTTCAGAACAAAATTATTTTTTTATTTGTATTATGTGTGTATTCATAGCCATGTTGGCAAACACCTCAAGAGCTTCTCAGAGCTTGATGAGACATTTTCAAAACATAATATACTGACTTAGTTTTCTGTTTTTTTTTTTAGTGTTGCCTCTAGAAGCCATTGATTTTTTGCTATTTTTCTGTGAATTACAAATTGAAATTAAACTTGTATTAAAGAAGTGGTTCCCAACCCTGATCCTCAATGACTCCTGTCCTGCATGTTTTAGAT